AGCCATCGGTCCAAAAGAAAAAGAAGTACAAAATAGTCCGCAGAGTAACTTGGAGTGTAAGTAGTGCCTTTCGTTGTCATTCTGAAATGCAGAATAGTTTGTACTACTGCCTGGAGATGGGGAAGGAGAGGAATAGGAATCTTGGGACACTTTTAGGGACTTTTCCTCACACGTGTGTGAAGAGAAGCAGCAGCTCTGAATGAATGGCTGTGCAGGGCTTGCTGGTGGGGGGACCGATTTCTTTAAAAGAAGGTCAAAAGCATAGGACCAGGCTTATATCTCTGTTTTTTTCTCTGCAGTAGACTTTTAAACTTTTCCTAAAAATCATCATTACAATATTTGCATTAAGTTTTATCCTAGAAAATAACAAATGTTAGTAAATATTACTGTAGTAAACTAAACTGTTGCAACTCAGTCTATGGTCATTATAGTCTTTTGAATCACAACGTGGAGATAATCATCAGGATGCAGATTTTGAAAATTATGAGAAGACTTTGTGCAGTTATGTCCTAAATGAGCTCTGAAGAGCTATCAAGTGTGTACAGTTAAAAGGAAGATAAACAGATACTGAAGCATAAGTGAATGGGATGTACTTGGGGGTCCTAAAACTGAAATAAGAGAAGGCTGGCAGACTCCTTCCACATTTAGGCCAGCAGTGAAGCAGTGGGTTTCTGCACATCTGAATTCTTACTCTGCCAAAGAAACATATATAGGACTTCTAATACGTTTAATCTGAAATACCAAGAAATACCATAGCAATTGTGCACTGGCAACAGCCAGCAACTGCCATGGTGCAGTAAGGGCTGTGGGATCACAGTAAGTTCCTGCTCCTTGAAATATGAGCAATATTAAACTAGAATAATAATTTAATAGTATTGAACTTGGTTTCACTTTCTAGCACAACAGAGAAGAAACAGAAAGTAAGAAACAAATGAAGCATGTCAGTCTTATCTGAAAAGCAAGAAGCTGGTGCATGGGTACCTTAAAGGAACATAAAATTAGGCATGCAGCACAAACTCAGCAGGAATTTCAGTCACTGCCATGAGGGCTGTCTGATTATCGTTTTTCATTTGTTTTCCAGGATGTATTCCTCATAGAACAGTGTTTAATTGGCACTTACAAACCTTCTTAGCTAGGAGGGTCACAAGCACTGCAGACATCCCTAAATCTGCTGATTTCTTAACAATTACAGTTAGTCTTCAATAAGCCTAGCTGTTTCTGCTCACTGCATCACAAAATCAGCACCTCCTATTTATTCTTTCTGTATTATAAAGGACCCATTGGTTTGGAACGCGAAACACTTCTTTTCTCTATGTGTAGGTCAGCTTGCTCTTCTATCTCCAAGTTGATTGCTCATTCATAACTCCATGAAAATGGAGTGGATTGGTTGTTTTCCCCACCCCATTACTGCAAATAAAACTCACAGCCAGGCCATCTGTGCCATGATCTTGATGGGCAACATAAAGATGTAGATGGCCCCAGCAAGAACTCCCTTGCCCTGCCCTTCCAGGCACTTACCACCCCCATGGATGCCCGTGGCACCCCCATGGATGCTCCTCCTCACAGTATAAGCCCTGCTGCTGCTCAGCCCTGCCTGTCTCCACATCAGTTTGCATCTGTGCAACCTACTCATGCTCACAGCAGGTCTTGCTTTGAAGGGATTTGGGAGGGGGGGTGAGAAATATTTACTCCATTCTATATATTATTCTCTCTCATATATTTGAATGAGTGTCAATGTTCTACAAAACAGGACTCCCAGGCTTAAATTACAGACGAGGCAACTAAACCTTCATGTTTAGATCATCCCATAGCGCGTCCTTGACACTGGTCATTGTTAAGAGCAATAGTTAATAGCTAATGGATTGAACTGTGCTGGTCCCTGGCAAGCTGCATTAGGGGTGTACTGGCTTCTCAAAGCTCAGCCTCGCAGCTGAGCCAGCAGAATTTGGGAACTGAACTCTGGTAGTTCATACCCAGCAAGAGCAGCTGCTTGCTTGGGTTTGCATAACTCGGGCGCCAGGTCCTGATCCCTTTCAAATCATTATGAACCTGAAGTTATTCCTCCCGAGAACTGATAGAGTCATGAAAGCACCACAGAAACCCAGAGAAGGGCTTGTCATGAATGATACCTGGTAGAGAAGAAAGGTCACTATTTTTTCCATTTGCATGGCTTTTCACACCAAACCCACATTGCAACACGTCTGCGTCTCACTCAGCACTGATCAGCGAAGCCACTTTGGCGCATGCATGCACCAAGCTCTAATGTGCTTTGGTGGTAGGAAGAAACACAACAAAATCCAAATTACGGAAACATGTTACAAGGAGTAATGAGTTTTTCTCTGCCATGATGGTCACCTGGCACTGCCAGATACAGAAGGCCCACACCGATACGTTTGTGCATCTGTACCTGAAGCCCAAAATGAAGCCTTGCATCCACTGCCAGCTCCAGGAAAGATCTCACCAATACATAACAAAGGAGCACTATTTTTTTGCCCTTTCTCTAGTCCTAAAAAAGTTAGGACAGACCAGTGGGAAGCTGCAGGTTGTGTACAGGCTGGGCACAGGCACCACCCCTGGGCACCCAGCAGGACAGGAGCACTGCAGACCCACCAGCACACCTCTTGTCGACTCTCGCTGCCCATCTGCTTCTGGAGACAGCACACACAGCATTTCCCTCCAGTTCCAAGCCTCTCAACTCTTCTATACCCCTCTGCAAACATTTGCTGTCCTCTCTCCTTCCAACTTCCACTCTATCTCCAGAAGCATTCATACAAATTGTTACACAGCCACTTACTAGCTCCCCCTTTCCTATGAGCTCAGCAACCTTTTCTTTTCCCTGGAGCTCTGAGGTTTAAACCTTGTACTCCAACTAGAGAGCAAATCCAGCAGCAAACATTCTCAGAAAGCAAGAAAGAACCAGAGCTCTTTTACCAGCAGCTTGATGAAATTCCCCTCCAGCATCTCCAATGGTGCCTGCTCCTTGCAGAGCCACCAAAGCACCTTTGCAGCATCTCTCTGGGCTGGAAAGTCTTGCTCCAGAGCGCAACATGGAGTTGGCAGCAGAGAGGGGATTTCTAGTGGATCAGCATGGAAATACAGCACAGAAATACAACACAGATTTTTACATAAGCAGGGGCTGTGCATGCTCAGACTTGCTATCCGTGGGAATTTGCTCCATTCATTCAGTGAGTGGGGGAAGTTTTTAGCAACATGTGAGAAAACAGGACTAGAGGTGGCTCAGAGCTGCAGATGTTGCAGATGTTGGTTGTGCAAACATAGCTATTGCTCTTAAGTAGGCACAAGCACACTCGTGTGTGCTCAAAGACAGAGATGCAAAACTTCTAACATGCCCATGAAGGCCCTGATGCTACCACTCTTGCACACATCTTTCTGGACACAGCTATACCTCTGTTTCAAAAGCGGTCTTGGTAACACTTCCCTACCTGACAAAGCAATGTCATCAGTAACCCTGAAGTAGCTGATAGCTTTAGGAAGGCCTCAAACTAACAGATTATTCAAATTTTGCCAAGCTGAACTGGGATCCCGCTTGCAGTGCAGAGGTAAAGGGCAGCAAGGTGACCATCAGTGAGAAGAATCACTGTTTGCAAGGGGCAAACATCAAGGCCCTTTTTTGTGCCGTACTGTTTGCTTTCTGCAGAATATGTTGTGTTTGTCTTGCTGGCTCCTTCTGGGATATGCGTGAACAAGCATTTTTCACGCTCAGTGAGTTAACTATTAGCCACGGACAAGTGGCCACTGAGAAATTAGAAATCACAGTACAAGGAAGAAAGCACAACAGTATGCCTTTCATCTTAACACGGAAATAAAAGACTTTTTCATCTACCGGGAATTACCCTTAATAAAACTGTGTCACTCGACGCCCTGAAATCAAATTCCTCCAACTGCTTATAAAGATTTTCCTTGGCACCTACTATCCTTCTCGGGAACTCGGAGTGCGCAGGTAGATCAACAGTCACACTCAGGAAATGAGCATTTCCACCACTGCACCTTGCAGTGTCCAACCGTACACTCAGTTCTGGCCAAAGAAAACAGCTTAGTGAATTTGGCTTCCTCCGAGCCATCTCTCAGCCCAAAACCAGGGAAAGGTCAGAAATATTCATCCTGAAGACTACGGACACAATTCAGGAGAGACACAGTTTGCTTTGACATTCCTCAATAACATTATTTTTGAGTCCATTTTGGTTTAAGTTGGATTCTTAGAGGGGTTGAGGGGTAAATCCTTGCACCTCACTAATGGCAGGGGGTTGGACTGGATGATCTTCAAAGGTCCTCTCCGAACCAAACCACTCTGATTCTGCAAGAGCAGGTTTTCCTAAGGAGTGGTTTTGGCACTCGGGCTCACAGGTGACCAAATCTTCCTTTCACTGGACAGATTTTGAAAGAAAATATGATCCCAACTGTTAAACTATCAGAAGCAGCATTATCTCCTAGAAAGGATCCAGAAAGCAGTTGAGCTCCAGGTTGCCATCTGACTCTCATGTCTGCCAGGGCTCCGTGGCTTTTGGACTATTTTTGGAGTTCAGCCTTGTGATTTCCAAGTGTAAAACCAGATACCATTTCTGATTTTGAAGCAAGTCTCTTCTGGTTTGGCAAAAAATCGCTTTTTATGCTGTGCATACCAATGCTGATGCCTGTCCCTGGGGCACCCTGCTCTGACAGACACATCGGTGGCTTGCAGGCATTGCATTAGCCCAGTTTGTTACAAGAACAACTCCCCTGATTTTATGTGAAAGGAGACTGGGGTGCTGGAATGAGACCCAGGAGCAGTCACAATGCAACACAGGCAAGAAATCAACTCCTTCTTCCCATTCAATTGGGTGACAGATGTGATTAAATACTATATTTCACTCTAGCTCAAGTAGCCACAACCCTCATACCCTTCAGGCATGAGGATTATCAGAAGACTTGATCTGTTAAAATTATTTTGCAAATGTGATTATTCACCAGCTTCTGTGCCTTTTCCAGGTAATGCAAGAAAAATGACTTTACTAGTGCTCATCTTCTTGCTCACCTGCCTCTCAGCTGAGTCTGCAAGCAGCAGATACCCCCCCAAGTCCTCAAGTAAGTGTGACCTGGCTTGGACACATCTTGTGGGTGTCCCAAGACCAGAGGTGGCATTGCTAAGTGGGGAGAAGGGTTCAGGGAGTGTCTGTATCCCATCAGTGCCCATCACTGCCATGAGGCCTCTCAGAGCACACGATGCTGCACAGCCCTAGGTCTGTGCTCGCCCTGGTACACCTGACCTGCTCTGCAGCCCTATTTACAGCCAACATATTTTCCTCTTGCAGTCTCAAGCCCCGTGTTTGGACCACGGCAAGTTTATGGGCTGCTCAATGGGTCAGTCACCGTGAAATGCTTCTACCCTCCCACCAGCGTGAACAGGCACGACAGAAAGTACTGGTGCAGGGAATCGGCCATGGGCTGCATGACCGTTGTCTCCACCAACGGCTACACTGCTCCGGGCTACCAAGGCAGAGCCTCCATCACCAACTACCCCCAGGCAGAAAACTTCCAGATTGACATCTCCGGGCTTACAATGGCAGACAAAGGCACCTACCAGTGCGGTATTGGTATCAATGGCAGAGGGCTCTCGCACAAAGTCAGTTTGGAGGTTTCTGAAGGTAATTACAGTCTTGGGGTTCCTTAAAGTAGTATTTTCTTTTACTTCCCTCCCAAATCCATTTTAATAAGGCTCCACAAATAGTCTGTCCATTGTCATGGTGGCATAGCTCTGGCAAGAAGGCTCTGAGAGAAGCCCCACTATAGAGCAGGCACTGACTGGTGTCTCTGTGCACAGCTCCACACGTGCCCGAGGGAGCCGAGCTCTTCCATGTGGAGCTGCACAGCACTTTGACCACGTCCTGCAGCTTTGGAGAGAAATACGTGAGCGAGCGGAAATTCTTGTGCAAGATGGAGAAAAACGGCTGCCGTAACATCATTGATAGTTATGGGAAAATTGATGATGATTACACCGGGCGAGTTCTGCTGAGCAACAAGGAGCCCCCAGGCTCCTTCAGCATCGTGATAACTCAGATGGGCTGGGAAGACTCTGGCTTGTACCTGTGCGGGGTCGGCGTCCATGGGGAGACTGGAGAAACAAAGGAACTGGATGTGCATGTCTATGAGGGTAAGATATTCCCAGTGGTTTTTTGCTTCCTCTCTGATTCTTTCTAGAAGCATCACTAGCAGGCTCACTCTATGTAACAAAAAATTTAATTTCCCTTTGTGGAGTGCTACTATCCTCTCCTCTCATCCAGACACTTCTTTCTATCCATTTAGCTATCTGTAATGTACTAAACCATCACTAATAAGGCTTGCATCGAGACTTAATTTCCCAGCCGTGGCCACCTATTTTCCCCAGCCTGGCTGGCCCAGAACTCCCGAAGGCAGACTCTGCCTACTAGCTTGAGACAAGCAAACTGTCTCTTCAAGTCTTAATTCTTTAAATTTCAAAATGACAGCTGTAGAAAGGAGAAGACTTGCCCTTTCCCTAGCAAAGGGGACAAAACTTTGAGATATCAGCACACAAAGCCAACCACCAGTCAATGAATCTGGGAAAAGGAAAGGCCTGACAGACCCTTTAGGGTCAACTACTGGCAGCGCCAGGACGGTCTCCTACTGTCTGCACCCCTGAGCTTTGCCTCACCTTGCTTTAGACACAACAGCTTAGCTTGATCTGCTAACATTTATTCTCTTGGGAGAGAGCCACATGGGCAAAAGTCAGACATGTACAGCTGCTCATTTCATTTTTATCTCCAGTGTCAAGTGTTCCTCAGGGAAAGCCCACCATAATTGGAGTTAAAGGAAGCTCAGTAACTTTTGAATGCCGCTACGAGCCTCAAAAAGAGACCTCAGAGAAGCAGTGGTGCAAGTGGAGAAACGATGGGAAAGGGTGTACTAACATCATCAACACCTCTGGGTACGTCTCACCCTTGTATGAAGGAAGAGTGGCCATGTACGACAACCCCGGTAACAAGACAATCACCGTCATCCTGAACCAGCTGCAGAACGATGACAGTGGCTACTACTGGTGCATGACAGGGGATGAAAAGGAGCAGCAATCGTCAACCGAGCTGAAGATCATAGAGGGTACGAGCTCGCGCGTTGGCAGGTCTCTGCCTGCTCGGTGGGTGCAAACCAACCTCCTCACCACCACAAAGGAGCAGATATGGCTTTTTGGAAAGAGATGTAAGGTCTAACTCTGAACTTCTATCTCATTGTGCATTTCCCCCGATGCCCCATTAGTTTTAAAATGGAAATACAAGGTTTCAGTTTTATGGGAAAGTGTTATGGGAAACAAAATTTTCTCATGCAACTATTTCTTAAGCCTCGCAAAAAAACCCCAAAATCCCAGCTTTCACCCAGAGATGCATACGCAGCATCCTGAACATTAATTTAGCAACATTAGGAGCACTTTCCCTGAAAGACACATCTCCTGGTTCACCACATCTAGTGACACCACTACCTGTCGACTACCGTTCCCACTGCTGACACCACTAACACCAGCCCTGGTGCTCTGCTTGCCCTTGCAGGAGAACCCGGTTTGGAAGGAAAGAAGGACGTGGAGGCACAAGTGGGTTCACGGGTGGATTTAACTTGCTCTTACCCCTGCAAGTACTACTCCTACCAGAAGTATTGGTGCAAGTGGACCAGCACTGGCTGCACCCCCATGCCCGCTTCTGACCAGCAGCAGCCGGGGCCAGACGTCACCTGTGACACCGACAACAAGACGGTCGTCCTCAGCTTCAGTGAGGTGGCAATGGCAGACCAAGGGTGGTACTGGTGTGGAGTGAAGCGCGATGGCCGCTACAGGGAGACCATGGCCGTGTACCTGTGGGTGAGGGAAGGTGAGCTCCAAGGCAAAGGCAGGGGCTTTGCTGCCCCTCAGGGCTGTGAACCATCTGCCTTCTGCTGAGAGGAAACTCCTCTCCGTATCCGCTAGGTCGCAGCACCTTAAAACAGAAGTGCTCTCATCCAGGCAGCATCCCAGACTTGGTGCCAAGATCACCCTGACGCGGCATAATTTGTCATAGTTGTCTTTATCTACTCACTGGTTCCTGCTTTCCAGTTGTAAAACCCCCACCAGTCTAAAAATCACTTCCTTCCACACCAGTTTTACTTTTTAACCCTGTCCTTACTCTATATTGCCATTTCAATTTGTGGCATCATTTATTTTAAGCAACATCTGCTACCTGTCAGGTGAAGGTGTGCATGAAGTTCAGAGATGCATCTTGCTCCAGGGACTTGTCTTAATAAACAGGAAAACAGTAGGGAGGAGGAAAGGAAAGGCTATCACCAACTCTTCTTGGACAGCAAGGGGCTTAGTCTCAGCTTTGGTGCAGTATTTTGTTTTTTCTTGGGAAGGAATGTTGTAAGAAGCAGAGCAGAAAAAAAGTATAGCACTAGATATCCCACATGCAGCCGTCCTAAGTGGGTGACGGTCAAAGTGAAAACAGAGACAAATAGCCTCGTTTCACTGCCTTTGGCAGGCAAAGAGCTAGAAATAAAAGCAAACCAAGTAATCAATTTTGTTCAGGAAATACTAGAGGTAGAAATTCAAAATGCAGGACTCCTTGGAAATACATAGGCAGAGTATTTCTTACTTAATATTTTTGCAATAAATTATTTGGAATGAGATTATTTCAGATCTCTAAACCCCATCTTAAAGATCCTCTCGCATACTGCCAAAACCCACCACAGTTCCACCTGCGCCAAGTACATCCAATAAATCCTTGTGTCACCACCTCCACGCTGCTCCTCACCCCACTGACTGCTGCTCTTCCCTTGGGATGCAGGGAAAGGGGACAACCGCAGCCCGGACCTGCTGGACGTTGATGACTCCAGCCACGCCGAGCCCCCCAGCCACGCTGACGAGGGCTTTGTACCCCGAGAAAGAGCGTACAGCGATGCTGGGGTGCAAAGCGCAGCTGCCTCCGAAAGGTTGGTTCTCTCCAGCCCTGTCATTTATTATTTTTGTGACATTTACATTAACCCATTGACAGTACCATTTGCATACAGCATGTGTGGTTTAGCAACAATAACGAAATAGCTTGTGCCTAAAGACCTTAGCTCAAAACACCAGACGTAAAGAAGAAAAATGTTACAGCTAAAGGCAAAATGTTTTGAAATTAATCTCTAGCTCAAGAAAATACAGTCCAAGAAGGGAATAATTAGAGATTCCAAGTGCAGAAAAACCAACTGAAAATACCTCTGTCAAGATTAGAGTGCTTTCCTCCACACATTTATAACCAAACTGCTGGTGCAGGTGGTTTGGCACAATCTCTGTCCTGCACTTTTATTTACCCCTTGTGATGTGCTGGGATCCAGTTCATTCATTGAACTGCATTGTGCTTACTCAGATTTACCATCCTAGACTGCTGGAAATTGATCTTATTCAGTCTCAAAGAATTAAGAAAAGAAAAAGAATTATTTCTCAGCTTGGTAACATATCTTTCCCTCCACTCCAGCTCTGATCAAAGCCATAGCCCCAGTACCATTGCTTTAGTCCTGGGCCCTGTTGGTGCCGTGCTCCTGATCCTCGTCACAGCTTTTGCTGCTTTTAAATACCGGCAGCTGAAGAGATCTGGTGAGTCCCTGCCTTTTCCTGCCTCTCAAGAAACAGCAGCAATATTAAGACAAAGGCAATACCTTGTACACAGGGTGCCAGGGCAGAGCCAGAGACCCTCCCTCCATGGGCTTTACATGTGGCATTGCACGATGTCTTCTTGCACAGGGGTGGTTTGGAGGCTGATGCATTCTAAACAGCTATATCGAGGTATTTATCTCCTCCCTCTTAACAGACCTGGTGTCCATTGGGAGCTACAGGACCAACATCAGCATGTCTGACTTTGAAAGCATGAAGGGGTACAGTGCAAGCAACAATGCCTGCGTGAAGGAGAACCAGGAGACTCAGCTGGGAGGGGACGGTAGGTCACTGACCGAGGGGCTCAGTCCCCAGCCCCAGGGCAAGCGGTTTGCAGAAGGACCCTACAAAAGCCACAGCAACCCCTGCCTACCAATGGCCCCACACCCTGACACCTCCCCTTTCTCTCCCTGCAGAGTTCATCACCACCACGGCTGCCCCGGAGAGTGCTGCTGAGACAAAGAAAGCAAAAAGGGTAAGAGGAGGCATGAGAGAGCCCACTGACCTGGGAGACACCATCAGAGCCCTCCAGCTTCTGCCAAAAGAGCTGCTTTCCCCTGGAGGCCTCATTTATACTGAGGTGCTCCCCATCTTACCTGGATCTGGGCACCTGCTGCAGATCAGCCTCCACGGGGGACCTTAACCCTGTCCTGACCTCACATTTAGCAGAGACCACAGTAGCAATCACCTGGCTTCATGATCTAGCACCCAGCAGGGTCCAGAGGTGCCTTTCTTTTTAGAAGCCCTTCTTTTTAGAAGTTCCTAACCAAAAGCAAAATGTAGGTGCTGGAAGTGCCAGGAGCTGAACTGGGCATTAAAGAGATCCTTTGCAGAGCCAGAAGCTCCATGTTAGAGTTAAGCAGCATTTGCAGCTGTTGCCTGCCTTGAGAATCAACGAGATCAGGCAGTTCTGCATGAAGGAAATTAGGGTGCGAAACAAGCCGGAGAGATATAGTGTATTCCTGCAAAATTATGCCCGCTGATCCCCTTCAGGCTGTAACAGGAAAGGCAAGGCAGTCACTAAGCGGTATCAGAACACCAGTAAAACCCAGCAGCGTTAGGACAGGTGAGGTGGGTGCCCACACACAGGGACACACATGCCACAGAATCCCAAACCCACAAACACTTGGGGTCTGCTCCAAGGCTGAGCAAAGGCACAATGCTCCCGCAACAGCACTGGTGTGACCTGCAGGATTGTCCCTCCTGTCCAGGCTGCCCATGTTGTCCCGAGGAGCTTGCACCTCCACAATGCTGCCCTGTCCCCAGCCACCTAACAGTGTCCCCCTGTCCTTCCTAGAGCTCCAAGGAGGACGCTGACCTTGCCTACTCCGCCTTCCTCCTCACCTCGGGCAGCATCACGCAGGGTGGTGCTGGGGGGGGCAGCACGACCCCAGCCGAGCACCCCCCGAACTGGGAAGGCCAGATCTGACAGAGAGGGACTGAGAGGTGGCAGCGACTGGAACCAGTTCAACCCTGAGGATCAGAGCAGGACACCAGCAAGCAGCACTGTTTATTGCTACCGCAATTTGCTATAGCTTTGACCTTTTTTTGCTTAAATTCAGCTTTGAGCGGTGTTGAGAAGGAATCGTTTGATGCCAAGTGAGGTGGCTGGGCTGGAGGAGCAGCTCAGACCGGGAAACGGCAGGAGCTCAGGTGGCTTAACCCCCCCCCAGCCCCAGCCCCACCAGTGCCCTCACGACACGGTGGGCTCCAAAGGCCAGAAGGCACATTTTACAAAAATCTCATTTTCTTTTCAAGGCAGCTGGAAAACCCTCTAAGAACAATGACCCGCGCTTCTCATTCCTCTCAGCTTTCTCATCCAGAGGGCAGTACCTGCAGACCAGACATGGTCTGAAGTGTTTTTATGCACAAGCAATAAAAAATACCACTGGCTTTCAGCAACCAGGAGACTCACAGTGCGTGGGAGGGCACAGGAGAGAGCACTCAAAGAGGTGCAATAGAGGTGCATTGGGGGGGGGGGGGGGGGGGGGGAGGGTGGCGGAATTTCTCCTCCTCTCACTGCAGCATTACAGCATCACATCTGGTGCTGCAAATGGCAGAAGAAACCCACAATTAATGGGGATAAACAGGAAATGGTTTTACATGAATTAGCACAACGCCTATCAGCAGTGTATATAGCTGATTAGGCAACAGATACCACTGGACCCATTTGCATAGCACAGACCAAATTCACCAAAGCAGCCAAACCAGCAACCTCCCATTTCTGACTTGGAACAGCTGAGCTCAATCTGTGCCCCTCTGCCATGGAGCCGCCCCACTAAGGGTGGCCCTGAAAACCCACCCTGAATTAGCACAACGCCTATCAGCAGTGTATATAGCTGATTAGGCAACAGATACCACTGGACCCATTTGCATAGCACAGACCAAATTCACCAAAGCAGCCAAACCAGCAACCTCCCATTTCTGACTTGGAACAGCTGAGCTCAATCTGTGCCCCTCTGCCATGGAGCCGCCCCACTAAGGGTGGCCCTGAAAACCCACCCTCTGCTCAATAAACCTGAGCCACATGTCGCTCTCACATTTTCCCTGGCTGGCTTCTTGTTTATTCAGGTAGAAACAAGGATGGCTGTAATTAAATGTTGTCTCTTGTTCTTGTTTTTGAGAGTAGATGACAGAACAGAAAAAAGTAATTTATTGATGCGTGAATTTTCAAACAGCAGCATGACATTGGCTGTCAGCCAGATGCAGGTACAGATGGCTGAATTCCCCACAGATAAAGCAACGTGGGAAGCAGCAACGATGAAGTTGTGACCAAGCAGAGTAGCAATTTTCCCTGGCCACCAGGAAGGGGATGGGCCGGTTGCTGTTCTGGCTAAGAGGGGGGCTGCAGAGGTGGCCAACAGAGACAGAGCTGCTCAGGAGGGAAGGGGCAGAAACTGCGCAGACAAATGCAAATTCCTGAGCATGTGGTGCTTACATGCAGCTCTGATAGTGAGCCATAAACTATAAAGAATGAGGCGCATTACCGTGTCTAGGGTCTGACCTGAGGGTGTTATGGTAACACAAGAAGTGTATTTGTTTTAGTAAAATATGAGCTTTAAAATGAAATCGTTACGGTAGCTCAGCAATATGCTGTTTGCATAAGCTGAGTTTTCATCGAGGATAAAAACCAAATTATTCTTGAATCATGGACCGCCCCACAATGAGCACTGGGATGAGTTGGGCTCACTGTGAGCAGGATCAACAGCTCCCCTGGTGTTCAGGGCTGTCCTCGCATCTGCATCGCAGTGGTCATCGCTTTACCTTAAGCAAGGCCAGGACGTCAAATGTCCAGTTATGGCCCATCTGCGTCATCCCGAAGGTTGCATCCCCTTGGCAGTGTGGTGGGTAGGGGCTCAGATATTGGGAAAAGTGTGGAGGGGCCAGGACAGGTCTGCACCTGCCCGGAGTTGCTGGAAGTGAATGAATTGTTCTGGTGCAATAGGAAAGGTGTGGACTTGGAGAGTGTCCCTGGGGGCGAGCAGTCATAAAGCTGCAGGAGAACTCTAAAGTTTGGAAGTTTCTGAGAGGAGAAAACCCCTTTCACTCTCCCTTTGCAAACTGGCTTCCTCTCCAGCCTACCCAACAGCATCCTTTTCTTAGCTCCACTTCTCCCGCACTGGGAGCGGTGAGGATGTGATAAACTCAGCGCAGAGGCTGAGAAACGTGGAGGGGCTGAGCATCCCCCAGCCCCGCCAGCTTCCTGCTCCTTCCCACCACTGGCTCTTCCAGCTGGCTCCTCATCTCCAAAGGGGCACATACCTGGGCTGTGTGGAATTCGTCAGCTCAGTTTGACATGAAAGCAGTAAAATTTGCCTGGATTAAGGCATGCAACCCTCTACACAGGCTACAGAATCAATGAACTCTGATAAATAATAATCGTGATAGTGTAAGTTGAGGATGTGGAATAAATACCGCATTTCTCACTCAAGCTGTGATCCAGAACCCACCACAATCAATGGACAGGTCCAGAGGGACCCCACCAAGCAGCCCCATGTCCTTCATCACAGCATTCACCACACATGTCCACTGAATTCCTTGGGTCTGTGATGAGCTGTGGTATCTCACTGCACCACTGGTTCCTTCCTAATGATTTTTCCTTTAACAGAAAACCATGGTACATGCAAGATATGTCGTTCTTAACCAGTTGATTTCTAGGGTGATGGTGATGAAAGATTGGCATTCATAAACATGGAGGGATGCATCCACCCGCTCATGCCCTGGCACCAGAACAAATTAAAGTCGCACTTCAAAAACCCATGAGAAAGCAAGTTAAGAGAATCAAATCCCTGAGAAGCTTTCCCTTGGCATAAGCAAATATTTGAGGAAAGGTAGTGAGTAATCAAGGAGATCTTTCCTTTAAAAGTGAATCACCAAATCCCGCTCAGCCTGAAGCATGTGTGTATGTGCTATAGGGAAATGCTGCTGAGCTCACCCAGCCAGGGCACAAAACGGGCCCTTCCGCATGGTCTTGGTTCATTTACTACCACATTAATCAGCAACATGTATATTACCGCCTTGCGGGAGAACACAGTAGAAAAGGGATTTAGAGCATGCAGCACCAGTGGGTACCAGTAATATGTGTGCAGCTACTGGCTGCTGAAATAGCCCAAAAGGGGTGAAAACAGACCAGAACTGTACATTATGAGCAATAAAAATGGTCTTATGGACAAGCTGGGGTGATTTAGTATCATTCAAGTCTGAACTTTGATCTCTCTGGTACACCAGGAATGATGCATCACCTCGAGGATGCACAGAGTGACATTACCAGGAGTGACAGTATCTGCTCTGAAAGGGCACTGCGCTGAATTTGGAAAGTTTCACCAAGAAGAAACATATTCCTCAGAATTTTGACAGACAGACTCAGCACAGTTTCAAGTGGGGTTTATTTACAGTAATTGCAACAGATTTCCACAAAACTTTCTGAGTGTCAGTAAATTACACAATATATACAAGAATCCTTTTCTATTCAGCAACCACTTACCTTGCATAGAAAGTTTTCTTTCACTGATAAGGCAGAAAATATCATCTCAAAAGGAAACACAGATTTCTAAGGCGTGACATACCTGCTAGGACCTGTTCTTGGAAGCGTTTTTCACCCTGTACACCTCGTTTCAACCAGAGCAATCAGCGGCAACAGTCACGTAAGGCTGAGCCCAGATTTATGAGCCCTGATCTGCAGCATGAACTACCCAGAGTCGTCCCAGGAGGCACACAGCATTCATGAATATACATTTCTTACACAAAAATCTTATAATTTAAACAATACTTTTATTAAATGATCACAGCTTATATCTGCTAGGAGGAGACACCTTTATAGATTTTCCCTGGGAGAGTGTCCTTTGAGAGAAGTCAGCTAAGCAAGTGCTATGCCTATTTGATCAAACTCAGTATTTCATCTTAATACAAGACCCTGCTGATGCATTCGCCTTTGTACCTGGCTAAGCAAAACACCCAGCGTTTGCCTGGACACAGCTGCAGTCAGTGAGGAACTGCACTGATACAGTACACTATTTTTCCGTCCACCACTGGCATGTGCCATGTCCCAGCAGCTTCGTTAGCCCCAGCCGTTAGTGGGTCCGTTACCGCTTGCTGCTCTCTAAGCAGATTTCTCCATCCAGTCGAGGAAGATGTCCAGCTCGCCCAGGGATTTCATTGCTGCGGATGTGACATTCAGCTGAAATTATATAAAGGAAAAATATTTTAGCAAAGATAAGGAGTATAACCCAATGTAAAGAAAATCTGAATATCTTAGTAATTAATAACTAAAATTAGTCATCAACTTACCCTCTCATAGTTCGCAAGTATTTGCTTAAATTTCTTAGTGGATTCCTGTCCACACAGACACTTATTTTGCTTATGCTGGAAAAATAAGATACAATTCATTAGTTTGGGCAGTTAATTTTTAAAAAAGAAGAGTTCAATTTCCAATTATGCTGGAAATTACTGTGTAGACTGAGACCTTGTTCAGCTGTGGAAAAGGCTGCAGGTCCTTAAATCAGACGCCAGCTCAGAACAGAGTTGACTTTGACAGAGGGACAGGATAAATTCTGTGCTGGAGAACTAATGTGGGAGCTGGCTGGTGAGTGGGCAAGCATGAACATTTCTCAGCGAGCATACACACTCTTCACATCATTTGCATTCTTGTTAAAACTGTTTTTATAAATAAAGTTTTTGTCACTTTATGAATGCTTAGGTCTATTTATACACTAAATACTGACAGATGAAACTAAACTGCAGCACTGCTCAGGACTTACACACTGCCCGAGATTCCTCTTCATGCTGAGGAAGGAGTTGGCTATGCTGCTGATTTTTCGGTTCACATACGAGTCCTCGGTCTGACAGTGTTTGAAAACTTTGTCCATGTAGAAGTTGATGAGGCGACGGGCGATGCAGCATCTGTTTGCAGACTTAAGGAATAAATTTCATCTTAAAAAGGTCTTCCAAAGTGCTTTAAACTTGTAGTTGCCAGCCCTTCCCGCCCCCCCCGCCACTAGAACAAGACATGACTAACACCAAGCTCAGCAGCTGTGCACTGTGCAGGATATTTTGACTCAGTAAAGCTTTTTCAGTAATGCTTGCTGTAAATTGATAACATATATAGGCAATTATTTTAGAGTTATTTTCTAGGAGGTCCATCCTCAGCAAATCTCATTGAGTCAACAAAAAAAAATAGCTAGTATTGTAGCTGGGTATTAAAGGCTGAGACCTAAAATAGTGCCCCATGTCTGGTGCCTTTGAGTGTAAGAGAGCTGCAGAACACTGACTTATAATATATTTCAGCTGCTTTTGGATTCTTTAATAGCTTCCCACCCAAATCCTGATTCACTTCCCTATGCCTCCACCAAGTGAGGTGGTGGGAAGCCCCAGCTAAAGCTGCTGTAATTGGAGCATCACATCACAGCAAGAAAAATCTCTGCCCACCATTTCTGGAAAGACAGTCAGGGTGAAAGCCTGGTGCAGAAACCGGCAGTGGGACACCCACCTCTTTTCACATACGTGATCAGCATCACTTCATCCTCCCTGACCTGCTCAGCGTCTGCGTTTCGCAGGAACTTAGAAGTCACAATATTGAACAGCTTCCTCAGGTGCCCTGAGCTGGGACACCTCACCACCGGTGTTAGCGTGCTCGCTGGACAAAATTATTCAGAGAAAAACTGGAGATGCGGTAAAGGCACCTACCTTAACCTTGTGTAGGGAGTGGGGGTACGACAAGATGCTGAGGGTCCTGATGGGGTCCCTGGCTTGCTGCACGGGAGAAGACAGAGATGGTGATGGCTGTCAAGAGCAGCCAAATAAAGAGCTTCCCCCCAAGAGCCCGGTGCAATACTTACGATGTTGGTTTTAATCGCAGTGAAACCAGACCTAATCTCAGTCACACTCATGGAAATCCTGCAGGGTCCAAAGTGGAAGATTTTGTTCCCGGCTGTCGGCATCAAATTCAACCAACACGACATGGAGAAGAGGCAAAGGAATAAGGGGTATCCCTTCATGATGATGCAGGATGCAGACACGACCGGCTAACTCTTTCCTAAATAACAAACACAATCGTTAATCTATGTATTTTATACAGGACTTGTACATGTACGCATGTATTTAAAAAAAACCACACTAATATCTCTTACCCATTTCTTCTTTATTCCTTATATTCAAGAGAAAACAAAATCAAATAAAGACAAATATTTAACAAAAGATCCCAAAAGAAGGAAAAAAAACAAAACCCAAACAACTCAACAGTAAAAGATTACATGTAAATAGACAAAGCTTTTCTGAAAACTTTTAATCTGAAAAGTGAATACAGATGAATTAAATTTTTAAAAGTCTACTGGCTCAAAAGCAGCAGGAGGTAACTGCGACTGAAAGCAGCAGATCCTGAAGTCTGATCACAGACGAAAATGCTTTCTCTCAGAAATAGCACACGTCAAATGCAAGTTCTGTTAGCTCTGAAAATTAAGATTATTAATAAAAAAACCCCAACTTTTTAGAGACACATTATAGGAAAAAAACGGAATGTGCATGAGCACATAGAGCTAAAGGATCAAATTGGTGTTTTACCTTGTTCTTGGATGTGGGTTCACCTGTCTTTCTGAAGTCTAATCTGAAGAGCTCTGAAGAACATTTTTATCCAGGTACCGGGAGGAAATAACTCTTGGATTAACTTTTGGGATTTTTCTCACTTTTCCCAGCATATATTTCCCTTTGCAATTTACCGAATTAATGAGCTCCTGAAAGGGCCCAGCACTCTCACCCACAGGAGTTTCCCTACCCGATGGAGGCGGGAAATCCTGGCAGTGCCGTATCAGCGCTCGTTCGGGAAGAAGGACACGACCAAAGGAGGGATCACCATGGGAATTACATCCCCAAAATGCCAAGCTCGGGGGTTCCCCCAGCCAAGCCCTTCCCAGAGAGGGGCCGTTCCCAACTCCCGTGGAGGTGTTGGGATGCAGGAACCTGAGCAGCATCACTCCCCTGGGATGCCAGTGGTCCAAACCCTTCAAGACAGGAGGGTTTCTGGCAGTAGGACATGATGCACTATTAAAATAACATGACTCAAAGGTGGCAGGAGCTTTCTCCATCACTGTCCTGGCCTTCATCTGCTGCATATGGGGGACGCTGCACTCAGGCTTGCTCCTCAGGTGGGTGGACACTTATCTTCATTGTCCCATCCCTGGTGTTTGGAGACTGGAGATGCTCAGGTAGGAGAGGGCAGGGCTTTGGGACGACCAAGCACCCACCGCCATGCCAGGAGTCACTTGGTTTTCAGGAACATGGGTGATTTAGGTGATCAGCATGCACAGCCCAAAGCTCTCACCCTGCAGAAGGACAGAAATTTCACTCAAACCTTTAGAAGCCCCACAGCCCAGTGCAACGGGGAAGTCTCACCCACAAACAATGCCTTTGACTGCAAAGTCTACACTGCCACAAGCATTAGCTGCTGGGAAAAACTAATGGAGCCAAGGTCCTCGAGCAGACCAGGCACATCTCATAGCGATGTTTGGGATCCAGACTGTCCCCAGTGAACCAGGGTTTGCCAGCTGGGGCATTCTGTCACATGAATGTGGCAGTACTGGTACAAAACCCAGGCTGGTTCTCCATGCTGTTGGCTCTGCAGCTAGTTTGGTTGCTTCTTTTACGCCTCTGGAGATAGCCAAGTCCAGTCTACAAAAAGAAATGAGCAGTTACAAATCCTTCTTGGGCTACCTGTACCCAGCAGGGAAGGTCAGATGGACTAGAGGGCATGGAGGTGGCAAAGACAGCCCTTGAATGCCACAGCCAACCTCTGGAGCAGCCATGATGCTCTGGGCGAGAGCAGCAGCACAGGTAAATCTTAAATCTTGCGTGCCTGTGGGCCAAGGCTGTGCTCTGAAGCTTTGCTAGGTGAATGATTTATCAATAACCCAGCTCAACCTTGAGTGTATATCCGTCATCAGGGGAAGACTAAGCAAACAGATTTTATGCCCTGGCTAGTCACGGTATTGCACAGAGCATTGCTGAAACCACCCAAAATGTACCAAACGCTTCCCTCATCCCCATGTCCTCCCCATGTCCTCCCCGTGTCGAGCAGCCAAAAGGCAGGTCCCAATCTGCAGCAGCTGCATTTGCCCTGGCTGAGGTGTCAGAGGGCTCCTCAGCAGCACAAGGCCGGGAATCGCTGCCTTCCCCCCATTCCCAGCCACTGCCTGGAACCGCAGCAAACGTTTTGCTCGGAGCAGAGGAAGCGGCAGCAGCGGCATTCCCAGGCAACTCGGTGCACACCCACCCTCAGTGAGGAAACGAGGGAAGAAGTGATGAGTTCTTACTTAATTATGTAAATCGCAGATGAGAAGATGGGATTTATTTTTTTCCTTTTGGTAGCTGAACCAACGCTGAAGGCAGGTCAGCCAAATGCCAGCAGGCAAGAAAAGTCCTATTACTGGGGTCCAGGGCCTTGCTGCATTACAGAGATCTGCACCTTGAGAACCAGAGCATTCTTTGGCCTCACCATCCTGTCACTGACCCTTGGCAATAGCATGACCCTCACCATAAGGATAAGGAGGAGAATAACCATGTCAGAGGCAGGGAGACAATCCAGATAGCTTTTCATTTTTAAGTACATGTTTAATTTTTAAGTGGTGTGCAATGATGGCAATTGATTACCCCAAGTGCTGGACCTGGGGCTGCTCCAAAACCCTTACTTTTGGAAGCAGATGGGATGGCAGGGATTTCAGCATTGGCATGAGTCCTAATGGAAGCAAATCCCCCAGGCTTGGCTTTCCCCAGCAGCCTCAGCTACCGGGAGCTGCGGCAACACAGAAACCTCCTCAATGACGCAGCAAGCCATTTCTCATGTGTTCTGGGAAGGAAGAGGAAAAGGAGAAACATGGATTTCTGAAACACGGCAGCATGACAATGGAGGCGAGCTCAGGTCGTAAAATGGGAACTGGCTCCCCCAGGCACTTGCAGAATAATCGAGGCTTTCGCGTACTCCAGCACTGGGGAGTGCGCCCAAGCGAGGAAGTGGTCCTTTCCCCATGAACCCTTCCAGGCAAATTCTGGCTAACAGGGAGGGTTCCTCCCTTGGGATTTTATAGTAGGCACGTTGTGACAGGGCACAGAAAATAGTTATGACCCAAATAACAAGCAAAGGCACAACAGAGGGCTGTCAGCCAGCTACCACCATGCTAGGGAAATAAAAACTAAACCCATGTATCATTAGCTTGGCTGAGAAATCATTTATACAAAGTCCATGGTGATTTGCTCACCTCATGTCTGCAGTGACACAACTCAAAGAGGCATAAAAGGGGCCAGGAGGCCGGTGAGGCCAAAGGGGACATCCCTGGTGCTGCCTGGAGAACAAAACCCAACTTTCAGAGCAGCCTCTTGGACCGCGCCGGCTCTCAGCAGCTCTGACCGCTGCCAGCTCATGCTCAGCCTCCTCCTGCCAGGCTGGTGTCCCTATCCCCATCACCACGGTCACCGCACAGGACTGGCATCACCGTCACCATGCAAAGCATCCCTGCCATGGCAACGGACACACCTCAGTAACAGCAACAACCCAAATTTTTTAATTTCAAAAATCCAGAGGCTTTTCTTTTTTTTTAACCCTAAAAAAATCCTTAAAAAAATAATCAAGTCATTCTGCTCTGAAGGAGCCACGCTGTCTAGAACTGACCACAGGCACACGTTAACACTAGATTTCCAGTAAAGCATTTCAGAATGATAAGGCACCAGTTTCAATAGTGCATTTCAATGTAGTTTCATGCTGTAAGGAGATCTGATAACACTGTACAGACCATTCTTGGTTTGCCATTCTTTGTCATTACTCATTTTTCACAGCAGCTTTAGGTACACCAGCATTTCAGATATGAGCCTGATAATGGTTTGTATGCAGATCCCTAGAACCAGACAATGTGAACGACAGAAATGCCGCCAGTAATTTTAATCAAAGAAAATTTGAGACTCAGTAACAAAGTCCAGCACCAACATCTGACCTCAGGAACTCTTCCTGACATGCCAAAGGAAAAGATCCACAACAACCTGGAACAAAAATGCTTGTAGGATTTTACAGCTCCCCTAGTAATACTTTATCAAAACCCTTGCCAAAGGAACAAAATTCTATTTCCACAGGAAGAATAAATATTTTCCACTTGAGTTTTATGCACTACAGTAACTTCTTACACACTTGTCGTGGTGTAATCATCAGACAGCGCTATCCTGATCATAGCTGGGCACTAACAGGAAGATGACACTGGTGCTGTGCTGCAGCCCTGAGCAGTTCTCAGCACCTTAAAGAATCAGAGATTTAATTGTCAAGCAAACCCTGGCCCTCCAATCCAGAGTCCATTTCCAATCTCGCTTGAACAGGCGCTAATGTGGCACCATCCTCCTGACACCCAGGGGTTCCCACCAGCTCCCAGACAGTGTCACCATCCCAATATCACCCTTTCCATCACCTCCTGCACCAACACACACTGCTGCCAGTGCCCTACCCCAGCCTCCCAAAATCTGACTGCTCCTCTCCCTCCTGATTAGTGCAGTTCATTAACAACAGAAACCAAGGGCCGGTTACCTTACAGGCTCACCGGTCCCGGCTCTGCAATGCTGCTGCCAAAAGTAAAAAAAACAACCTGTTTTTCTCAGTAAACTCAGCAAATGACTCAGAAAAAAACTCTGCAAGGAGCTCTGGGCTGATAGGCGTGGTACATCATGTGCCCTCTTCTCGGTCACGTTTCTAACCATAATCACTTTAATAATTCTGAAAATCAAACATTGAGTACTGCCTTTTTGGGAGCAACAGGCTAAGCATGGCTCAGCTTAATGAGGCGCAACTTTAATTCAGCCAAGCTCAAGAGATGTCCAAAGCCAAGGGAGCAAAACTTCAGGCTTTTTTCTGGGATTTTTTCCCTGTTACCTGCAGCCCATCCTGGGATGTCCCCAGGTCCCATCAGAAAGGGGATGGAGCCACCTCCCTCGGGGAGCATTGCCCCATTGCTGGGGGTGGTCCTAGTCCCAC